ACCAGGTGGTGCTGCAGCCGGTGGCTGGATGGCTGTGACGGCAATGGTTGGCGTGGACGTGTTGGTGGTGAGGGGTGATCAGCGGATGTAGTCGTCTCACAGGCTGTAGCCGGCCGTGTCCTGGCTTGTAGTTGCACGTAGACAGCCTGTAGTTGCCCATGTCCCCTGTTGTAGTTGCACGTATGCCTTGGACTGTAATGGGTGGTGTCCAGGTGTAGTCGCGTGTGTCTCCAAGTTGTAGTCACAGGGTCCACCAGCTCGGCTAAAAGTCTAAATTTGTATTCCCTTTTGGAATTACCAGGGCCCGCTCAGCGCGTCTGGCAGGCCAGCAGCGGCCCGTCAGGGTCCACACCGGCCATCAGAGACGAGCAACGCGGCAGCCAAGCGACTTGGGGAGCCTTTTGGAACCCTAACCCTAACCTGAAACCCTAAAGCGCAGCGACAGGTGAAACCCTAAAGCGCAGCGACGGGTAAGGGGTCAGGGTTAGGGTAGGGTTAGGGTAGGGTTAGGGCAGAGTTAGGGTAGGGTTAGGGTTACAAGGGGTCCCAGAAAGTGATTTGATGGGTTGGGCTGCATTTTGTTTGCAGGGCTGCATCTGGGTACACTGTTGAGGGTTTAAAGCACTGCTGAGCTGCTCTGGCTGGTCAGATAGGGTGTGCTGGCTGGCTGGGCAAGGAAGGTGCATTTGGATGCACAGTGGCCTTGGGCAATTCTGCCTTTGTCCTTGAGCAGGAGGATGAGTGAGGATCAGGCGAGCCTCAGTGCCTGTACAGCATGTCACATGGCATGTTGAGGGTTGTCTTTGTTGCAAGGAGCGGTGCAATTGATGTTGAGAGGGCAATAATGTGGTGGTTGAGCTGGGGCAATTGCTTGTTGCCTCCACCCGCCAGCCGGCTGGGTTTGGGCAGGCTGGGCGAGCTTGGCGAGCTGGCCTGTGCGCGAGCAGGGCGGGTCGGCAGCGGGTTCGAGAGTTGATGACGCCAAGCCGCCTCCTTTTGGCTGGCGAGGGTGGCCCGAGGCCGCTGCACCGCCCTCGGCCTCGTCGGCGCAGGCCCGTCCGCCCGTCAGGGGGTCGCCCACCCGCCCAGGTGCAGCGCATCGACCCACTGACCGACCAACCCACCTTTGCCTCCCTCGTCGCCACGTCTTGACCCTCGCTCCCTCCGTCAAGAGCCCTCGAGGATCCTCTACAGCCCATACGACAGCAGGAATCACGGCCACCAACACCATCACCGACGACACCACCGCCGACGACACCACCGCCGACGCCACGGCAACTTGGCCCCGACTGCCTGCCTGCCGCCTGTAGACAACGGTCTCCCAACATCTCGGCCATCGAGCATCGTCCGCCCTACTGCTCGCCCGACATGGCGCCAGTCACCTTCCCCTACCTCGCCAGGGCGACGATCAAGTACAAGAGCCCGCACAAGCAGGTACGTGTAGCCCGGCGATGCGATGCCGGCTGACTTTGACCGTCCGGCTCCTGGAGCTGACCCCGGCGGCTGTCGCATCCTTCCGACCCTGCAGGACCTCACCTTTGCAAAGGGCGAGACCATCCGCGTCACCGGCATCGCCCCCAAAGCCGACGAGGGCGGCGGCGACGACGACGATGACGACGACGACGACTGGTTGGTGGGCGAGTCGCTGGATGGCAGTCGGAAGGGCACGTTCCCCGGCGGCTTCGTCGAGTCCAGCGACGAGCAGGACCAGCAAGAGGTCGAGGCCAGCGCAGGCGTGAGCAACCTCGCTCCCGCCGCCGCTTCGACACAGCCCGTCGCCGCCACAGAGACGGCAGAGCCGGCCGAACGCGCGCCCGTCGTCCCGCAGGCCGCACGAGACGCCGCCCTCGAGGGAAAGACGGAGACGGCTGGCTTCGGCGCACCCCTGCCACCCAGACCGGCACAGTCTGACGACGAAGACGACGGCGAGGAGCAGGAGCAGCCAAAGCAGCAGGCCCAGGAGCGGGCCCAGGATGCTCCCGGCCAGTCGCCGCACAGCAGCGCCGCCATCGCCGAGCCCGCCACGCAGCCTGCAGCGACCGAATCCCAGCCCGCCGAAGAGGCGCCGGTCGCTGCTTCGATAGCCAAGGCCACTGAGCCCGAGCTAAAGGCGTCCGCGGCGGCGCCGGCACCGGCCACCGCACCCGCGCGTCAGGCTCCGACGTCGAGCGAGAGCGCAACCTCGGCCAAGTCGCCCACCGCGGCTGGCGCCACGTCTCCGCCGCCGGTCGCATCCAGGTCGCCTCCGCCCATCACCACCAAGCCAGCCGGGATGTCGAGCTCGTTCCGCGACCGCCTCGCCGCCTTCAACAAGCCGGCAGATGCCGCAGCGCCGCCGCCGTTACCTCGAGGCAAGCCCGGAGGATGGAAGCGGCCGCCGCCCGCTGCCGACGCCCCCAAGCCCGTCCTGCCCGGCCAGCCTGCGGCCGCAGCATCCTCTGCGACAAAGGCCGAGCCTCAGGCCGCCACCGCCGCCACTGCTGCTGCTGCGACTGCGCCCGCAGCAGAGCCCGTGCGGTCCAAGGACGAGTCCGGCTTCAGCGCGGCCGATGCCCAGAGCAGCATCAAGATGAGCCTCAAGGAGAGGATGGCGGCGCTCCAGCGGGGCGATGCCGCCCGCAGCGCTGGAGGAGGCGACGACGATCACGGCGCCACGAGCCCCACGCCGAAGCCGGCACCCGCTCCAGGCCGCATCGCCGCCGAGAAGCGCAATGCCGCCCTCGCCGGCATGGGCCTGGCTCCCGCTCCGCCCCAGCCAGCCAGGAGCCTCAGCAGGGACAGCGCCAAGAGCGGCGTCTCGGGCGGTGGCGGCGAGGACGAAGCAGCCCACAAGGAGCCGGTCGAAGAAGCGGCGGCCGCACCATCAGCGGAGGCCGAGATCGCCGAGTCTGCCGAGGCTAGCGCCGCGGACGAGGCTGGAGCGGAGGCTGCGGTCGCAGACGATGCGCCAGAGCTGACCGAAGAGGAGCAGGAAGCGCAGAGGAGAGCGGCGCTGGCCAAGAGGATGGCTGCCCTCGGCGGACGTAGGATGGGAGGCGGCCCCGCCCTCTTTGGAGCTCCCGCTCCCGCCGGTGCTCCGGTCAAAAAGGCCAGCACCTCTTCAGCCTCTGACCAGGGCACCTCCGTCGAGCCCGGCATCGCCGAGCCTCGCCAGGATCCGACCGCCCTCCGGTCACCCTCAATCAACGAAGCGGACGGCAACCCCCTGAGCCCTTCGAGCGACGCCTCGGCTGCCGAACCCGCCGCCCCATTGGAGGATGGCCAGCCAAAGACGCTCGCTGTACCTCGTCGGGCAGCACCGCCCAGGCGTAAGAGGCCTGTGGCGGCCGCGACGGCATCGCCCTCGTCTGCAGCGGCAGAGGAGGCCACGTCGCCTGCTGCTGATGTGCCCAGCGAGGCTGCGAGCGGCAAGGACGGTGAGAACGATGAAGGCGTTCCTTCTTCCATCCCTGTCCGGGAGGCAAGCACCGGAGAGCCTGCCGATGAGGCGGCTGACGAGGAAGGCCACGGTCTTGCCACCTCTGCGGGGGTGGGGGCGGCCATCGCGGCGGGTGACACGGCTGCTGCTGCCGGCGAGGCTGCGACGCACCGTGCGGGCGCAGAGCACGACGAGGAAGCGGCCGATAGCGAAGGCCCCTCGAGCACCATCGAGGCGGCCCCATCGCACCTGACCGAAGCGCCCGGCGACTCGGCCGCTGAAGAGGCGCCGCTGGATCGTAGTGAGCCCACTGGCGCGACCACTCTCGATGCTGATCGAGACGCGGACGAGATCTCGACTGCGGCCGTGACGCCCAGCGGCTACGAGTCGGAAGACGCCCGCATCAAGGAGCACGAGCGCCAGCTCGAAGAGTACCTCCAGGGCGGCACGGCGAACAAGGACGACGAGCTCGAGCGGATGACGAGCGCCATCGAGCCCGACGAGGCCGAGGCGCGCGAGCAGGAGGATGTGGTCCCCGCCGACGACCCGATCGCGTCTCCGGTCGATGCTGGCTCGGCGCGTCACGACACTTCGACGCCGAAGCCGCCAAGCCGTCCGCCAAGCACGCGTCCGCCGGTGCCGAGGACGTCGCTGCCGCCCGCGCCCATTGACACGGCGGGCACGCACGACCATGCGGCCGCGTCGAATGTGCGGAGCCCGCTGTCTCCCGGCAGAGAGAGCGCCGCGTCGCCTGCGCCCGGCTCGGCTTCGAGCGCACAGCGTCGCAGCTTTGTGCCGCCAGTCCCTCGTGCGTCGGTGCCACCGCCGCCGCGCGAGGCTGGCGGCGTTGCTTCTCCGCCCCCACTTCCGCGCAGTCCTCCGCCGCTCACGCCCGGGCCGGTTGCGCCTAGCCTTGGAAGCGTTGCTGCCGATGCAACGGATGAGCAGCCGGGCGATGCTGCGGCTGCTGTGCCTCCGGCCCCCATCTTGGCTGCCCCTCGGCCGAGGATGGCGATGCCGACCGAGGACCCCGAGGACGAGGAGCTGCTCCAGGCGGCCGATGCGGCTCAGCAAGGTGCTCGTCAGGACGAGGCGGAAGCATCCGCTCCGAAGCAGAACGACGAGCCCGTGACTGCGACGGCAGACGAGGACGAGGCACAAGAGGAGCCCGTGGAGCTGACCGAGGAGGAGCAGGAGGCGCAGAGGCGTGCCAACCTGGCCAACCGCATGGCCCGCCTCGGCGGCCAGCGCATTGGTGGACTGCCCGGCATGGCGCCGCCGCCCATTATGGGAGCGCCGATGCCGCCTCGCCGCAAGCCGACGCCTGCGGCTGCAGAAGATGAGCCGCGATCCGACCTGCAAGGAACGGGCGCGGGCAACGTGGATGCGCTCGAGGCCAGCGTGGAGCCTCACGGCCATTCGGCGTATGCTAGCGAAGAGCAACCTGCCGCTGGCGTCGCTGCCGCCGCCACAGATGCGCCGGTCAGACTCGCCAGCCCTCCGCCGGTCCCGACCAGTCCGCCCCCGAAGCCCCTGAGCCCGGCTCCGAACCGCCCGCTGCCGCCTCGTGGTGGCGAGCTGGGAGCCAGCAGCCCGCCGCCTCTTCCCGTTGGACGGCCGTCGTCGACTGCGCCCATCGGCAGCCTGGACGAGGCTGCTGCCTCGCTTGCTCGGGCGTCGACGCCCGGATCGACCGCTGGCACCGCCGACTCCCTGGCTCGCCGCACATCGATGCGGCCTGCCATTCCCCAGGGTCTGCGAAGCCCACCTGTACGCTCGCGTGAGCCGTCTCAGATCGAGAGCCACCCCGCTGCGGCGACAGGTGAGGATGACGCAGCCCATGATGAGGAGGAGCCGGTGCCGCGCGTCATGGCTGTGAGCCCGCCGGCGCTTCCGCTGAGCCCGCCTCCTCGGCCGTCGTCGCGAGTGCCCCCACTGCCCGGGCAGGTGGCGGTGCCGTCGCGTGATGCCTCGTACCAGCAGCCCGCTGTCGCCTCGCCGACGCAGCAGGCGCCGGTTGATTACCAGCAGCAGCAGCAGCAGCAGCAGCAGCAGCCCTCGCAGCCCCAGTTCCAGCAAGAGGCCGTTGCGCATGGCGCGACGCCGTCGCAGGGTAGCAGCCTTTCGACGAGGCAGTCGTCGCGAGACCTGGACCTAATGCCCAGCAGCCGTGAGTTGAGCAAGGCGCTCTGCGAGGTCGAGGCGGCGGCCATGTTTGACCGTCGACTGACTCTCCTTCTTTCCCTTTTCCTATCTCGCTTCCGTTGCGGACTCGACTCGACTGCAGGCTGGTGGCGGCATGGACTGTCGCCCCTGCGACTGCCTCCGACGGTCGCTGGACGGCCGGATGCGATTCTCTACGCCGACACGTCTTCCGGCACCGAGCGGGGCAAGGCGACGCACAGCGCCGACATCTACGTGCTGTTTGAGGACTATTCGACGACGACGATTTCGCTGTCGTTCCAGGACGACGACGCCGAGGAGAGCGCTACGACGCTGACGCAGGTGCACAACTTCCCGCCGCCAAAGCCCGTGGCTGAGCAGCTGCGGGCTTGGTCGTCGGAGGTTGGCGCCCAGATTGGTGAGTTGGCCATGGCGTGGGGCGGCGACCCTGTCGTGCGGAGTGGCGGAGCGACGTGCTGACGGTGACCGCGCCTGGGCCGTCCCCCTCATTCTGTCCTCCTTCTGCGACGACGACGCCGACGACGACAGCCAAAGCGGCCATAGACGCAGCCAAGCACCCTCCGTCGACGCCCGTGGGCGATGGGAGCGCGCGGTCTTTCGCGGTCTCGCTGATTACGGCGCTGCCGTCTGCGCTGCCGCCGGTGGGGTCGAGCTATGGCGCGCTGATCCTGACGCAGGTGGGCGCGACAGTCATGGAGACGGGCGCCGACGAGCCGCGACCGGGCGACGTTGCGGTGTGCGTGGGCGCGGAGCTCAAGGGGAAACGGGGGCTGGCGCCGTACCACGCAAGCTACGGGAGCGCGGCGGACCCGCTGGTGGCCGTCGTGGTCGAGTGCGAGGCCAAGAAGAACAAGCTGCGGTGCGTGGTGCAGAGCGGGAGGAGCGCGGGCAAGGGGAGCAAGGGCATCGACGAGGTGAGCCTGCGCCTCGACGACCTCAAGAGCGGCGTCATCAAGGTGTTCCGGGTGGCGAAGAGGCAGGCGTGGGTCGAGTGGTGAGCGGGCGTCGGGTTGGTCGGGGAGGAAGGTGGGTGGACCGCTTGGCAGGATGCATGTATATACCGCCCGCACGCGCTAGATTGGGCCGGCCGGAATGTCGACACAGACGGAACGAAGGTCGGGAGAAGAGGGCGGGCGGTATCTCGGATGCGCAAGAGGGTTTTCGTGCTGCGGGTATGGCCAAGTGTACAAGGGCAAGGGGGGCAATGCGTAGGTGGTGGCGGCTGCCAAGGTGAGGCTACTGCGGTTGCTGGTGCTGCTGCGCTGCAGTGATGGGGGGAGCGATGCCGATTCTCCTCTGAACGAGTTCGACGAGGGTCCTACCCTGCGGGCGGTATTCGAGGTTGCGGCCGTCCATTTCCCAGAGGAAGTAGGAAAAGATGCCGGTGCCGATGCCGAGAAAGGGGTCGGCCAGCCTGTGCGATGCGGGCGAGGCGACGGGGCGAGCGAGAGGTGAGCGGCGGCGGGGGTAAGGGTGCGGAGATGGAGATGCGAGATGGAGGTGCGACTCACTTTGAGATGAGGTACTTTGCCATCGTTTTCGCTGCCTTGGGGCTTGAGGTGCGGAAGGTGGTGGTGGTGGTGGCAGTGGTGGCAGTGGTGGCAGACCGCCGAGTGGGCCGACAGGCAAAGGCAAAAGAGGCGGGAAAGCGGGGCGGTCCATGCGCGCCAAAGTGGAGGAGGCGCAGTCAAGGCGGGGTGCGGATCCGGGTGATCGGAGGTGGCAGCGTAGGCAGGTCAAAGTGTGCGTGGGCCCCCGCCCAAAGGCACACACGCCGCGTAAGGGCCACCCTCGCCGCTCCACCTCGACCCAACTCGACTTTGACCCTGCCTCTGGCTCTGACTCTTGACTCCTTCTACCGCATCCCCACCTCGTTTGCTCGCTGGCCCCTTCCTCCATCCTTACCGCACCGCCCACCCTCTCCTCGATCGCCACTTCTGGCATAGACGGCATCTAATTACCGCAGCACATCGACACCACACCGCTCCACATCTCCTCGCTGCACCACCACCACCACCACAACCGCCCGCCATGTTCCTCACCCGCTCCGAGTACGGTAAGTCGTCCACTTCGTCGACTTCCGCTGGCTCTCCCATCTCCTGGCTTGATCCTTGCTTGCCCCGTCTACATGCTGACCCTCTTGTCCGCCTGCTGCGACCCCTCCCCTCCGGTCAGACCGCGGAGTCAACACCTTTTCGCCCGAGGGCCGACTCTTCCAGGTCGAGTACGCCCTCGAGGCCATCAAGCTCGGCTCGACGACAGTCGGCATCGCCACGAGCGAGGGAGTCGTCCTCGGCGTGGAGAAGCGCGTCCAGTCCAAGCTGCTCGAGTCGAGCTCCATTGAGAAAATCATGGAGGTCGACCGACACCTCGGCACCGCAATGTCGGGCCTCACCGCCGACGCACGCACCATGATCGAGCACGCCCGCGTCACTTCCCAGAACCACGCCTTTACCTACGACGAGGAAATCAAGGTCGAGTCCGTCACACAGTCCGTCTGCGACCTCGCACTGCGGTTCGGCGAGGGCACCGAGGACGACGAGGCCATGATGGTGAGCACGAGGAATCGGCACTTGGCCCCCTCTCCTGGCACGCGCACCTCTTACTCATACCCCATGCCACCCCTCCCTCTTGCCACCCCTCTCTCCCTCCTCCTGCCACCACGACATCGCAGAGTCGGCCGTTTGGCGTCGCGCTCCTGATTGCTGGCATCGACGAAAAGGGCCCTCAACTGTGAGTCGTCCCGGAGCAACGCCGTCCATCGCCCCCACCGACCGACCAGCTGACTGACTCGATCGATCCTCGACTCGACTTCGTCTCGCGCGCCGCAGATACTATGCCGACCCCTCGGGGACATCAACGCGCTACGACGCCAAGGCCATCGGAAGCGGCTCAGAGGGTGCCCAGGGAGAGCTGCAAGACAAGTACAAAAAGGTGAGCCGCCGCCTCGCCGCCTCGCCGCCTCGCCGCTTCTAGCCATGCCCGACCTCGTCGTCGCCACCATCCGCGCTCGTGCTGACCCTCTTTCCAACCCCAACCGCAATCCCCACGTCACTCGCTCGATCCGCGCCGTGCCCCGCCCCCCGTTCCGACCGCTCCGCCCCTACGCCTCGGCAGGACATGTCGTTGCGGGAAGCGTGCCTGCTGACGCTGCGCGTTCTCAAGCAGGTCATGGAGGAGAAGCTCGACGAGAACAACGTCCAGCTCGCCACCGTCGTCCCGCGCACCGCAAAGGACGGAAGGCAGTCGGGCCAGTTTGCCATCATGAAGGAGGACGAGCTCAAGGCCCTCATCGAGGCCATGTAAAGGGGCGTCCAGGCGCGTGGCGGCTGGTCACATCGCGGTACCGAGAGGGCCCACCCAGCGCTCGAGATCGAGGCTAATCCACGCCTCACCTCGTGCGACGTCCATTGTGACGTAGCGGTAGCACGACGACTGGAGCCAGGCCCGATGCTGCCAGAGGATCCAATCAACGCTGATACAAACAGATCTGGTCCAGTCCGCCTTGAGACATCGGGGCTAGGAGTCACAGAGAGAGAGAGAGAGAGAGAGAGAGA